ATCATAAGTTATAAAATTAAAACTTATTCATATCGCATTTTATCTTGTTTACAAACATTAACAAAATAATCTTACATTGATACTTAAATTTTTAAAAAATAAGTATTATTTATTTTATTATCTTTAGTAAATTCAGATTAATTAATTAAATTCAAAAGAGAAATATAAAATTCTATTCTTTATGATTAATTCAAATATTAAAATAATAAGTATTTTAAAAAATTATTAAATAAGTAATTCTTAATATAAAGTTTTATTATTTAAGTTGAGATTCAAGATAATAATTAAGATATATTAATAAAATAAGTAATATAAAATAATATATATAAAGATAAAGAAATATAAAAGAAATAAATAAAAATATAAAAGAAATTAATAAAAATATAAAATATAAAAGAATAAAGAAAAATAAAAAATAAAAGAGAATATTTATATATTTTCTAATTTAAAAAGTGTAATATTTAATATTAAATTTTTTTTGATATAATATAAATATAAAAAAATAAATAAAATAAAATTTAAATCTGAAGTCAAATATTATAAAAATATGATGTATTCTTGTGAATTACTTAATAATTATTTATGATTTAAAGTAATTTTATTAATTATTATAATATTTAATTTATCTTTTATTAATAGATTATATAAGTATTTTTTTATTCTGATTTTGAAGTTTATAAGAATTATATTAATATAATTATAAATATAATATCATTTGCTACTTTAAGTAATTAAAATTTATCTTTAATTATTAAATATTATTTTATATTATAATATAATACTTTATTTCTAATTTTAAATATAATTTCTTTTAAAATTTTATTATTATATCTTTAAGTATATAATAATTATCTTTCTTTAATATTTTGCTTTACTTCTATAATTTATTAAGATTATTAATTTATAGTATAATATATAATAAAAAAACTAAATATTTTATTTTTAATTATATTCAATAAATATTTATTAATTTATATAAAATTCTAAATATATATACTTAATAATCTAGTAAAAAAGTTTACTTAAAAGTATTTAGTAATTTATCTTAATAAAATTTTTTATAATTAATATTTTTTTTTGAAAAATTAATTATAAAAAATTTAAAATACTTTTTTAATCTTTTTTTGCTTATTATTCAATAAATATTTATTTAAATTATAAATATATATATCTAATAATTTAGTAAATAAATTTACTTAAGATTAATATAATTAAACTTTCTTTTTTATTATTTTTTATTTAAGTTTCTTATTATTAAAAATTTTTAATTTTAAAAATATAAATTATAAAAATTTTAACAAGATAAGTATTTAAATAGTCTTAAATAAAGTTATTTATCATATTCTAAAGTATATATACTTAAATTTTTATGTTATTTAATAAATATTTATAAAGAAAATTAAAATATCTGGTTTTTTATTATATATTATATATATTATAAAAGCTTTTTTTCTTTTATGAATTTTTTTTAGATAAATAGAAATTTTTATTTTGTTTAATAATTTAGTATTTTATTTATAAATTAAATAAAAAGATTCATATTTTATTATTGAATTTTGATTTATTTTATATATAAAAAGAGCAATTAAAATAAATATATCTTATTCTTGTTTATATACTGTGATTAATTTTTATAAAATTATATATAATATTTAATTAAATTATTTTATTAGTTTATAAATAATATAATAAAGAAAATTTTTATTTAATTTTAAATTTTATTAATAAATTCTAATTATTATTTAATTAAATTTCTTTTAAATACTTATATTTATAGATTTTTTTAAAGAGAAATTTTATAATTATAATAATTTTCTTATTAGATATTAATTTAATTTTAGATTATTTTATAAGTTAATTAATTACTTTTACAATTTATTAATTTTTATTTATTATAAGTTTATAAAATTTAATTAAGTCAATAATTATTTATCAAAAAATTATCTAATTTTAATAGAATCTAAAGATTACTTAGTAGTTCTTTTACCAGTTCACTGGTAAATTTAAAAATTTAATATAATTTTAATATCAATTCTCATATTATTTTAATATTTATTTGCAATTTATTGATAAGTTTCTTCAAATTCAAAATATTCAAATAGTAAGCTTAAATATAAATTAATTAAAATAACTTCATATTTTTTTTATTATTTTAATGTAATACTTATATAAGTAATGATTTATTCTTTTTCTTCTTTATCTTTTTGAGCTAAGATAACTTCAAGTTCAAAATCAGAGATATTAGTATAAAGATAGAATTTGTTGGTAAATTAGAATAAATTAAAATAGATACAGTTGTAAGATATTATTTAATTTATTGAAAAGCTTCTTCTTAATTCATTGTTTAAATAAATAATTCATTATTTTATAAATTTTTTATAATATCCAGCAAGTTCAAGAAAAGATCTTAATATCTTAATTATTCTTGACTAAGAAAAATCTTTTATCTTTTAAATAGTTGAGAAATTAGATGAGATTTCTTTTTTTAATAATTATATATTTAAGAAATAGTAATTCTCTTCTGTATAAATTATATTTTTTAGAATTAAATTTCAAGTTAACATTTTGAATTCTATAAAATAATTTGTTAAGATTAAGAAGACTTAAATATTTTTTAAAGATTTTTAAAAATATATTTAAGCTTTTAATATACATATTGATAAAATTTAATTATAATTGTCAAGTATTATATTTATTATATATTAAAAAGTTATTGGAATATTATATAATTTAAAAAACATAATATTAAATTCAAAAAGTTCTTTTTTAAAGATGAAAGCAGTTTTAGTTTTGTCTTTTTTTATTTTAATTTGTCAGTATCTAAAAGTTAAATCTATAAATAAAAATTAGTAAGTATTTTCAAATAAATTTATTATTTTATCAATTTGAAATAGAAAGTATAGTGTAAACAAGGTTTCTGATCCTGCGATGATGCCTATAGATTAAGAACTACATTTTTGGTTACAATAACTTTTTTACGCTGTGGCTAGGGTACTAAACATACCATCCGAGTCTCCTTGATTGTTCAGGATAATAGTTTTTATAAAAACTACCACAAGACTTCTTTCGAATGCTTAGACCCATATTTTCGTAAATTATTCTCTTTCACTACTGTGTTGCGCTTTATTTTCTTTAGATCCAACATCTTTAGAAGTTAACGTAACAATAATATTCGAAATTTAGTGCATGTCAGGTATCCAAGGAATAAATTTTGTTATAAGAATACAAGTTATAAGTCGCAACGTCACCAGGTCGATTCCAGCTGACAGTAACTTTTCACTTTCAAGTAGATAATGCGTATGCGCAGATATCAATCATGGTCTACTTACATCATCTTTATGATGTCCGTTTTTGTGGAAAGCCGAAGTTAATTTCAAGTGGTAAAAACGATGATACTTGATGATACGCCAAAATATACAAAGTCACAAAAAGTAATGTATAAATAATCTACGGCCAAATTTAGGTTTAACGTTATGTCCATATTAATTAATTCCAATTGTTGGCAAAAAAATGTTGCTCTTTGGCGGATTCTTTAGAAATTTGATACGTTTTTATACATTTTTTTATTTTTAAATGAAATACGCTACTTGCCAAGCATGTTCGAATGCGTGCTGTGTATCGAGTGACGTATGAGACATTTACGTCTACATATTTGCATCCTCACTTATATAAAACATTCCAGTAGCGGGGTGACATGTATTGTATATTAAAAAAATTCTGGTTTAAGTAATTTTTGAATGTGCTGTTAAAAAAACGAATTTGTAGATTATTTTTGCAAATCCAATTGTATGAAAATTTCTTAAATGAAGTTCATTAATAATTTTTATTGGCCGTCCTATGGCTTTCAAAAGTTCAAAATTATGTCAAAGACTTAAATACATAAGGGACTTAATACGAATGCGTCAAAGTATGAGTTATATTAGACTTTGTAATAAGCACATATATACTAAATTGAATTTATATCCCAAAATTCAAATTGAATCAAAGTTTGAAGGTTGTGCTTCTCGCAAATTGTCAATCCTTCTACGATTCCGGAATTTGGTTTAGTTTGAAAATGTAAGACATGTATAGTGGCGCTCAAAAGTATTGCATCACCCGGACGATAAATTTCACGATTTAATAACGTTTCATATACAACATCAATCAATGCCATTTTAATGCCTATATATGGACATAACATCGCATCATATTTATTTTTCATATCGTACATTTAAAAAAAATAAACCACATTTTACATCGAATAAAGCGATCCGTTTCTTTTGATTGTTTTGATAAATAAAAGTAAAATCGAAATTACTCACTAAACTAAATAAATTTATGAAAATTTAACCCCCAATTTTAATTACCACCTAGTATAGCCACCCTTTGCATTAATTACATCTTGAATGCGTTCCTCCATACTTTCAATTAGCTTCATTAAAAACGCGTTATTAATTTTGATCCAAATTTTATGTATCGCATCCCAAAGTTGATCTTGAGTATGGATACCAATTGACGACATTCTCAAATGATGATCTATTTCGTTCCAGAGATGCTCGATTGGATTAAGATCAGGTGATTGGCAGGCTAATCGAGCAAATGGATATTATTATCATTTTTATTAATTTCATACCACTGGATTGTTTTTAAAAGGTCATCATTTAAGATTTCATGATATAAATTCTTATTCATATAACCATAAATGCATACAATATTACCAATGCCAAAAAAACTGAAGCAACCCCAAACCATTATATTCTCACCCCCAAATTTTACTGTAGGTTTCATGTAATGCTCTTTCAAAGGTTCATCATCATGTTTCCAGTAATATTCATATTCATCTGAATTAAAAATCATAAATTTCAATTCATTCAACCAGATGACTTTGCTCCAATCATTAATAGTCCAATGATAATATTTTTTCACAAATTTTAAATATTAAATTCAATGTGTTTTTTTGAGATATGGTTTTTTTTTGCTTAATTTGTGAAGAAAGACCATTATGATATAAAGTTTGCTTTATCATGCTTGTGCTGATATCAATTTTATCATCAGTTTTTAATTTTTTTTGGATAGATGTTGCAATGGGAAAATTACCATTTGAAATTAGATGTATAATATTTCATTTATCACATCCAGTAAAAATTCTAGGACAGCCTGGTTTTGATAAATCTTTAATGGTATTATGAGTATATTTTTTTTGTTTTATTCTTATAATGAAGGATTGGAAAATATTTTCATGATTTGTAATATAATGGGAAGAATATCTCTCTTTAAGAAGGGTATAAATTGGGATCTTTTTTTGATGGGAATATGTGTATAATAATTTTAATTATATGAGATAAAAGAGTGAATCCATAAGTGTCTTTTATTTATAGGAGGTGTGTTTTTTATATTTGTTTTGAGGAGGAAAATGATCAAAAGAAATACATCATCAGCTTGGCATAATAAAGTCCAAGTTAAGCAAAGTGGTATTACATTTATTTTTTAAATTGTATGTATGGATCAGTGCAAAAAGATTGGTATACCAATATAAAATTAATAACTGTTTCTAATAAAAATTATTCAAATTTCACTAATCTTTATAATTTTTTTATATTAAATAAAGAATGATCTGAATTAACTGTTTATGCTATTTTAATTATTCTATTATACTTTAATTTAATAATAAATGAAGTATTACTTTACTAAAAAAACTAAAAATAAAATTATTTTTTTTTAAAAAAAAAGATATTTTAATTATTGCTATCAATTTGCAAGATTAGAACTTTAAACTACACAAATAGATTATCCTAGATTTGATAAATATATATTCTAAATTTCATAAAAATTAAATTAGTAGTTATAAAGTTATTAAGATTCAAAGTTTAGTAATTAAATTATTTACTATATAATTTTTATATTAATTTTAATCAAATTTTATATTCAAAAAAATTTATATTAGTAAAGTTTTTTATAAAAGATATATAATAAGAATTTTTGCATTTAAATACCTAATAACTTAATTAAATAAGACAGAATTAAAATTTTATTTTGAAAAAATAATCTATTAATATTTATCTGATGTACCAATCTTTTTGCACCAGACCATATTATTTATTTATGCTTTTAACTATATATGGGCTAAGTTTCATTTACCTGTGACGTCTATATTGCTAAAAATTTCACGATTCGATTTTTGTCATAGTGATGCATTACTTTTGAGCGCCACTGTACATATATTATATATTATATATTATAGGAAACAATTCATAAAGCTTAGGATGCATGCTTATTTCTCTTATTGTTCATCTTCACTTATTTTTAGTTATTCTTGAAATACGAATTAACATATAGTCTTAATTTAAAAATGGTTAAGAAACTTATAAGCTAAGGAGATTATTTATAGGTAGCGGTTAAATTTATATGATTTAGGAATTTAATTTTAAAATTTACATCTAAAAAAGTGTTTAATTAATGTAATTATGTTCAGGATAACTTAAAAATATCTGGTTAACTTCAAAATTTTCTTCGGTTAAGTTATCATTAAAATTTGTGCTGGAATTTTGAAAATTAACATCAGTTTCGAAATTTGCCTCAATTATTTCTGGGTATAAAGTCGAATTTTGAAAATTTGGAGCTTGTTTATAGTTTTCTCAATACATACATACTACATGATGTTGAGATTTTTGCATATGGCCTCCCCTTGGCTTGCTAATTATAGTTCTTTTATTTGGTTCACATTGTGGATGCGTTGATTTTTAATTCCGGTACAGTTGTTCCATGAAATAAATGTATTAAAGGATATCGATATGGTTTCATAATAATTTTTTTTATATTGTGGCAAATTTTCCTACGCTTTAGAGGCCATTTTCCTTACGAAGTTCATCGGACGCTTAATCTTTAGCTGCTTAAACCTTTCCAAATATTTGTTACGAAAAAGCAGGAGATCGTTAAGGGTTTTTGTTTAATTTTATTGTTTTTTTAGATCGTTTCAAATCAAACACTGGATGCCATTCAACCTCAAATTCTCAGGCTCTTCCGTTGATAGGTCACTGTAATAGGAAGGCCTTCATAAATTCTTGAATATCCCAATTTATCATTTAACATATTGTTGCTAACCAAACACGTAGAAAGGGATAAATGATACTTTTGATTAAAAACATGCCTTAATGTTGTCATAAAGGTGATGAAATTTCGAAAGTTAAGGTCATAATTTTATATTCGAACTGGAATGGTGTCTCCGAACATTTTAGTTTTTGTTTAATTTTACATTTTGTCAAATCGCAATTTTCGTAGAACAAATTAATTAAAAGTAAATATTTTAATAGATATTTATTGACTGAATAAGTATATTTTGCAAAATAATTTAGAACAAAATTATTGATAAAAATATATATTTTAAAAATGTTTATTGGCTAAATAACTATAAATACTTTTATCATTTATTTTATTATCGTAAGATTAAAAGCTTATGAGATATAACGATTATTTGTTGACTTTTTAGTAAATAATTATTACGTATTTTGATTTTATCTTAAAAAAATTTCGATCAAATCTTTTTAAGTATAAAATTCTACGTCATAATATGAATGTGACGAACAATAAACTTCGCATGCGAACAATCTTTTTTTAAATTATTTGAAGTCAAGTAATATATGCTAACATGAATTTTTCAAATGTATTTACTTGTATATGATTAGAATTGATAAAACTCAATTATTTTTGGTCACACTTGGAATATATTCGAAATTAGAAGCCCAATTTTTTCATTTAATTTAAATGAAGTTTCGATGTAGATTTCGTGGGAGACTTCATAAACATGGGGCAAAGTGCATAAATCTTTGCAAAATAGAAATTTCTAAATGAATATATTACGTACTTCTTAAAGATAATCGACTGGCTTTTAGGGGGTTGATGTGATGATTTTTTTAACAATGCATCACATAATTTTATTTTTACCGGATTTTATCCGCGAAATAAAGATTTTTGTAAAAATACATCTTATCATTAATATCCGCTTATTATCTATAGGAATAAATGTCTAATAATCAAAATTTGTTAAATTTGAATAACTGAAAAAAGAACTCGAATATTCTCAAGAATGGAAACAAGTTAATTTGGTTATATTGTAATTACTTTTTGATAAAACGGCCGAACTTTGTTTTTCAAAAATGATAAAAAATAGTAATGCCGTATACTGCGTGAATTCATTATATGCAAAGATCATTATCTCATTATTAAATAGATAGCAAAAGAAAATTATACATTTAGAGATTTTTCTTAAGATCGTGATAAGGTTATCAAAGCTGTTTTTAAATTTACTATAAAATATACATATATTTACCATTTTATGCAAAATATTATGTCATCTTTTTTGTTGTATATGCTCGAGATCTTAGGATCAACAAAAATCCTCCCGTTTTGCTTTGATGGAAGAACCAATTTTGTCTGATGTCATATGCGTGAGGTGATAACAAGTCAAGTGTTCCTCTTTTTGTAAAGTTCGCATAATTTTTTATCGCCAATATACTGTATACATATTTATTATTTACAATGTGTTTAAAAATTTTTGACATAAATTTGTATCATATAGAAATCGAGCTTAAATAAAATCGCTGCGCTGTGATAGAACTTATTATAGCATAATAATTTAGATTTAAAGGGGTTGCTTTTAAATTGTTGTTTCTGTGAAGAGTTTTTATTTCAATGAGGAGTTTTGCAATTATTATGAAAGAATGTTTGAAAATAAATTTGTATCTTCATCTTTCAAATATCTTTCGAATATATAAAATACTCCGAATCAGATTTAGGTTCAGGCTCAGGCTAGGACTCGGGTTCCATTACTGTATGAGTTGGTGTTTGTCTTGAAAAGGATAAATTTGTATCCTCATCTTTCCAAATATTTTTCGAATATATAAGATACTCAGAATCAACTTTAGGTTCAGGTTCAGGCTCGGACTCTGGCTCAATTATTCTATGAGTTGGTGTTTGTCTTGAAAAAGTATTTGACCAACTGACGTGTATTTGTGTAATGTAGCTGACATTTGATTATATTTCTTTTTTTCATCAGGATGTGCTTTTTCCATAATCCGGCGGCGAATTTAGAAACCTGAACCGTTGTTCTTACCCTTCCGCTTTTTTAGAGCCTCATTAATTTCCATACGAAAGAGAATAAAGGAAAAAAAGAGGCGCATTTGTTTTTTAATTCATTGAAATCATTTTGTGACGGATTATTATAGTATTCTGCGACTTTGAAAACCCAAAACTTCAAGATGCAAAAGTTAAGTGGCTAAAAAACGAATAGATAGATAAATGCAAAAACACCATTAACAAATGAATTCCAAGTACTACTGTATTTTACCAGGTAAGGTATCCCGTGTCGTATTATTTTATAGATCTAGGGCATGAGTTGTTTCTATGTTAAGAATGCTTTATTTGAATGCTTCATATATGATTCAAGAAAATGTGAGTAGAATGTACCGTACACGGGGCGTGGCTTTTAAATGGTAAAATACGGTAAAAATATTGTAAATAATTCCACAAATTAGCCTTTATCCATTTGTGCGAATAATTATTATGTAATACTGTAACAAGATGGTTCACCAGTATTTAATCTTCATATTGTAAAATAAGAACCAGTATTTACTTTATTGGAATGTGGCTAAATAAAAGTGACTGAAAATGTCATTTCACATGACAAGATAGATAACCGAAAGCATTGTTAGAGTGGATATAGAAGTAGTCATATAAAAAAACAATTTCGTCTCTTCCTCTCTCGAAATAACTTATCGCGAAATTCTCCCAGCTCAAACCCAAATTATCTTATTCACTTAACTCTTTTCTTTGGATCGCACACGTTGAAGGATATCAGCTCAGGTAATAAATATAAATCCTTATAATTATTCTAATTACTAATTCTTGTCATAAGCAAACAAATCCAGAACGCACTAGCTGTAACAATATTAGTTTATAGCTAAACTATGTACGTAATAATTTACTATTTTCGATTAAACTGTTTTATTTTTCAAACGGAACGTTTAATCAATATACGTATTTTTCCTAGTTCTTTTTGGATGTTTAATTTCATAATTTCAAGTTCTAAAGATTTGAGTGCAACATGTCTTAGTTCCTTTTTTATATACCAGACGTTCATATTTCTTAATTATTTCTTCTAATCGTTGCTAATTAACTGAATTCGTTGTTTGACAAAGTCATATAGTACATGTAATTTGATTTAGAATAATCACTCAAAAGTACTGATTTTTAGATAACGTAATTCTTGGCCAAGAGTTTCCTCTTGATAAAGTACCCACCACACTTTTTTTAATATTAGTTTTCTTTTTTTTCTTAATTGACTTTGGTCTAGAACTTTAAAAGACTCGTTCAAAATGTTAGCCATGTGATGCCATGTGAATTTTTGAATCAATATCACGTTACATATTAATATATGTATATGTACAACGTGCGTGCATGTATACACGATTTCTTTCACTTGTTACGTATCGGTATGAATTAAAAATTGTGAATTTAAATATTGCCAATTATGGATACCAACTTGAATACAATTTTGTCAGACGGTAATATTTTATTAACAAATAATGAAAACTCATTTTTAATTGAAATTTTATTTATTGATATAAATTAAATAGAAATCAGCACCCTCTTCCACGATTTGCTTGATTCCGGTGCATCATCTCGGAAAATAAAACAATTTACAAAATATATTCAGTCTGCTATTCCTGACATTGTAAATTTTAAAATCTTTTTAAAAAACAATAAACCAACTGCCGAATTTATCACGCTCTTGGGCTTCTGTTACGAAAATGGGATTAAAGTCCAGATGAACAAAGAATATGCTTTTGAATGCTATGAGATTGCAGCGAAAAGAAACGACCATTATGCACAGTGTTTACTCGGAGAATGTTATAAATACGGAAAAGGAACCCGGCGAAATCATTCTTTGGCATTTTACTGGTTCCTCCAATCAGCCAACAATAACAATATCGACGCGCAAAATAAGTTAGCAGACTGTTATATGAATGGTATCGGATGTGAAAAAAATCCGCAAAAAGCATTTCGCCGTTATCTATGTGCTGCAAATTCTTCTGAACATTCAGAGGCTCAATATAATCTCGGAAAATGTTATCAGGACGGTAAAGGTGTTCTTCAGGATTATAATAAAGCATTTGAATGGTTTGAAAAATCGGCAAATGGAGGTAATGCAGAAGCTCAATATCTTCTTGGAGCATCTTATGAAGTTGGTATAATAAATCATAAAGATCAAGCCAAAGCTTTCCAATTTTTTTTTGAGTCTGCTATTCAAGGTCACTCTGGAGCTCAGAATAGCCTTGGGTTTTGCTACTTTGAAGGACGTGGGACGATAAAAGATGAAAATAAGGCTTTTATATGGTTCCGTGAATCGGCCAATTCTGGATTTTGTGATGCTTATTCTGGATTTGGTTACTGTTTTGAGAAAGGGATTGGAACTTCAACTTCTATTCATCACGCTTTGAGAACTTATTACCTTGGAGTCAAGAAGGGTGTTTATGCTTGTAAAATGGATATGTTTGAAGTATTTCGTATCGTTTGAAATATACGCTAATATTTTATGCCACATTAATTCAATTCATAGTTCTTTGTTAAAATTTTCCTTTAAATGAAATCATGGATTATTTTCTTAATTTAGCTAGACATTTACTATAATTACGCTTTAAATAAATTGTCGTTTGTTAAGTTAAAAATCTCTTTAATAAATGAAATTATTTTTTTATTAAATTGATAATTATAGAATTTTCAAAAATTATTTCTATTCTTTATACAATAATACAATTATTTATTTTAAAAATCTGAATACATTCTTTAATTATATATTAGAAAGTCCACTCTCAGTTCGGGATAATCAATTTGTCCATTAGATCTAGATTTGTGCAAGATATTTCCAAGATCTTGATGTATTTTATCTAAATGGACACAAAAGATGAGAAAAAAGCATTCGATTGATATACGAAATCAGCAAAGGGTGGCGGCGCTTTTGGATTCTTGGTTTTGTTATGAATTAGGAATCGGAACACAAGAAGATGAAAAAAAATTCGATTGTATATGAAATTAGCAGCGAGTGGAATGCTATGGCACAATGTAATCTTGGTTTATGTTATGAGTTAGGAAGCGGAACACAAAAAGATCAAAAAAAGCATTCGATTGGTATACGAAATTAGCAGAGGGTGGAAATGCTATGGCACAGTGTGATCTTGGTTTTTGTTATGAGTTAGGAATCGGCACACAAAAGATGAGAAAAAAGCATTTGAGTGGTACTTGCATTCAGCAGAGGGTGGCGATGCTGAGGGACAAAATCTTCTTGGTTGTTGTTATCGAAATGGAATCGGAACACAAAAAGATGAGAAAAAAACATTCGACTGGTACTTGAAATCTACAGAGGGGAGATGCTGGAGGACAAAAAATCTTCTTGGTTTTTGTTGCCAAAATGGAAACGGGACACAAGAAGATGAAAAAAAGCATTCGATTGGTATACGAAATCAGCAGAGGGTGGAGATGCTGGAGGATAAAATCTTCTTGGTGGTTGTTATTAAAATGGAATCGGAACACAAAAATATGAGAAAAAGCATTCGACTGGTACTTGAAATCTGCAGTGGTTGAGATGCTTTAGGTCAATACAATCGTGTCATATGTTATCGATATAGAATCGGCACACAAAAAGATGAGAAAAAACATTCAACTGGTATTTGAAAACAACAAATTTTATTGCATGACGTAAGCTTGGCTTGTTTTATTAAAAATAAAATCGGCGCATAGGAAGATAAGAAAAGGCAGTCGATTGATATTTGAATCAACAGAGTTTGGAGACATTTTATATCAAAAAAATCTTAACGTAATGGCATTCGAAGCACAAAAGATGAGAAAAAATTGCACAAATGTAATAGAAAGATTACAAAATGTAAATTAGTTTTTCACTTAATGAATTTGTTTTCATAACATCTTTTTGCTTACTGTTGATTGTTATATGATTAAATTGAATTAGATTTAAATTGAATTAGATTTGAATTGAACTTTTTTTTGATTTTATTTATTATGCAATTAAACTTTCTTATTACATGTATACGGTACGTACAGACTACGATCAAAATAGTACATAGAAAATTTTAAAAAGAACATACATGTATAAGAGTAAGAAATACATGACATGTACAGTATATTATTTATTATCTGATCTACTGTTACCGCTACCGTAGCAACATTAAATTGCGCAATTCCTTAATTTTTCATTAAAATTCCTTAAAAAAGAATATCGATACCATTCTGGAACAATTATCATTTAGCGTTAGTGATTAGCGTTCCAACGGCATTATCGTTATGTTTGTTTGACACCGAAACCACAGTAGCCACAATAACTCACAATCAACAATTCAACATCTGACCGTTACTGTAGTAACCTTGAGATTTGTGAGTTCATAATCCCTTTTATAAGCACATGACTTGAACAATATTGCTATAATTCTTTGGACTGACATCCAACACCGGCTCGTAAATTTATTCATTTTACTATGACTATCAATTCTTAATTTCTTGAGAAACGCACATTTTTGATAAACGCTTAACTTTCTGACTTAACGTTTCTTGTGATTCTTATTTCTCTTTTCCTCAATACACTTTTATTTAGATCAAACATATTATGCTTCATCTTATTGTCCAGAAACTAGTTAAACTTATTATATATAGTAATTACTAAAAGTTTTATATTATATAAATAAAAAAAATAAAAAATATAATATTTTATAATTCATATATTATTTATAATGATAGGTAAAATTATATTATATATATTATTATTATATTAATTTAATATATATTTATTTAATTAAGTACATAATTATTAATTAAGTATGTAATTATTAATCAAGCATATAATATTAACTAAGTATATAAGGATATAATTATTGATAATATAATAGTTATTACTGATAACTTTATTTAATATTATAATAATATGATAAAAATATTAAAAACTTATTATTAAAGCTTAGAAATAATAAGTCAAATATACTAATCAATATTATTATCATCAAAAATTTAAAATTAAAAATCAATTATTAATCAAAAATATAATTAATACTATAAATAAATAATATTCTAGTAAAAAGCTTATATTAAAGTATATTAAACTTATATTATTATTATTATTATTATTAAAGTTATCTTATCTATATTTATTAATTAAATCTGTTATAATATATAAAAATATATTTTGTCTTTTATATTTTCTTGTTAAAGTGTATAATTCTAATAACAATAAAGAATTCTTATATTTAATATTATTACTAGCTATAATTATCTCTAATACCAAAGAAAGAATCTTTTATAATAAAACTTAATTCTTAGTTAAATAGTGAAATTACTTCTTATATAACACTATCTAAAAATCTATTAAAAATTTAAAAATACTAAAGAACTTATTCAACAATTTGAATAATTATATAAATAATAACATTTATTTTTAAGAGAAGAAATATATAATAAATCTATAATAATTATTTAATATTAGTTTATAGGTTATTACTATATTATATATAACTTATTATATTAGATAAATTCACTTTATATAAATTAAATATAATAAGTTATTTTAGCTATAAATAGATTTTTTAATAAAATTTTTTTAATTCTTATTTTATTAATATAGCTAATAGATAGTATATATTATTGATAATTAATTTTTCTTCAAAAATTTTCTTGATAAGATCTATAATATATTTTAATTATCTAATTATTAATAATATCTTTATTATTAACTTTATCAAATTAAGATTATATAATAATATAAAGTTAAGTTCAGAAATCTTGTTAATTATATAAAAGATATAGAAGAGTTAAATTAAGTTATATATTTTATTAATAGTCTCAAGTTTACTATAAAGATAAATATAATATATTAAATATTAGAAACTTTTAATATTATCTAAAAACTTACTATTCATTATAATATAGTTATATTTAATATAAATTATTCTCTTAAAAGTGATAATAATAATCAAAATTAAAAATACAGAAGAAATTGAAATTCTTCTTCTTATAATAATATTTATAATAATACTGATCTCATACTTATAAAACTAGATTATATTAAAGATTTTTATTAATTTAATAATAATAATAATAATAATAATAATGAATAATAGACTTTTTCTACTAATCACTTTGTTCACAAAATTCAGAAGTGAGAAAAATTTATTTCATATAATAAACTCTTTATTTTACATATATTTACATCTTTATAATATAATTAAATATTCTTTTTCTCTCTTTTCCTTTCTCTAATACTAATTTTTCATTCTCTTTTCATTTTTTTTTCTTTATAAAAACTTAAAAACATAAAAAATATACAAAAAACATAACAAAAATAAAAAAAATAAAATTTTTTCTTTAATATCTTCCTCCCTTTATACTATAATAGCACAAAATATAGATAATTCAAACTTATCAAGCACACACAAAGCTACTAAATCTTCTATTTACTTTATTTCTACCATACTTATAATACTAATATCTTTAAATTTCTCTCAAAAATAAATCTCTTCTCCTCTCTTTAATAATTACAGAACTCTAGCTAATCAAAGTAACTCAAAATACAAATAAAAAAAACTTACAGAAATCATATCAATCTATATTCAAATTCTGATTCAGAAAATTATTACATCACATGTAATATATCTTCATATATATCATCATTCAAAGATGAATCAGATATCAAGTTAATATATAAAACAGATAACACAGTCAGTATAAATCTAGATATTACTGATTATTAATCTGAAATATCAGAAATAAATAACCAATTTTCACCAATTAATTATAATTCAACTCTCCAATCCAAACTAAATAATCAATATAATATATATTATTGTAATATTATATTAACTAATAATAGTTAACAATAGTAAATCATTACTAGTCATAAATAATATAATGCATAGATCCAATACATAGTATTTATAGATAAAAATCAGGAAGAAACTGAAAATATCAACTATAATTAACTAAAATAATATACTTATAAATATTTATGCAAAATTCTAGGCTATATCTCTCATAAAATAATAAAAATAAATACATAAAATTATTTTCAAGTCTTCTTCAACTCATCTCAAGCTCTCCAAATAGCTCTTATATATATAATCAATAAAAGTTTTCAATTATTAACTGAAAAATCACAAGATAACTCTCAAGAAATCACTATCAATATTATTTCTCTTAAAGATATCTCACTCAACACTCCTAAAAGCTTAATCTATAACATATTCTCATAATTTGGCATAGTTAAAGATATAAATCTAAAATAGTTAATCAATAGCAATATATAATAATCAAATTTAAAGAAAAAGAAGCTGCTGATAGAGTTCTTCAAAATTGATCAACTCTTCTCAGACAAGATAATATATGAATTATCTTACTACAAAATCAATATGAAATAATTACTAACAGAGATTAATACAAACTCAAACTCACAAATTTATTATACAAATATATAATATATGAACTTTCTGACTATTTAGACTTAATAAAAGCCAAAACCTATTA